ACCTTCTAACTCTAATGAATTCGATTCATATTATTTTGATGAGTGACAAGATGCATATGATGAATTATGTTTGTAGTTTGAGACCATGAACTCCAAATACAAAAAAATGATTTCAAAATTTAAAGTTGAAAACAATTTTCTTTTGAAAGCAAAAATAGACTTTGAAAATCAAAATTGAATTTTGAAAAAGGATTTAGAGCTTTCCAAAATGAAAATTGAAAATTTTGAAAATTTAAAAGTTAAGCTTGAATGCTTAACAAAAGAAAAAGAAATCATTTTAAATAATTCATCTAGTTTCATAATGGAAAAATGCTCACATTGTCATCATCACGATCATTTGGAACATACTTGTCCTTTAAAGAAATGAAAACATTTTAAAATTAGACAAGTATGGTTCCTAAGGGAACAAGGGGTATTGAAACTAACGTTCAAGGATCCAAAGCAATTTGGATACCAAAATCCAATTAATTGTCTCTTGTAGATGTGTGGGAGCAATGGTGAGGAAAGTGAAGATACTCAAATGTTCTAGCCACACTTGATATCCCCCTTCCCGAAGAGAGGGAAACCACTCCTTCTTCGTCCGCTCAAACGTACCTTTGCTCTAGCGGAATTCATATCCATACCGGGCTTTCTCTCTTCCCCCTCTCGGGGTTATAGTCCGTGCGTGCAGCCGTATACGAAAGCTTCCTAAGCCTTTTCTTTCTTCCTGAGACGCGCTTCGATGCGCTTGCTCTAGGTTCGCTCGTGCTTCTTTCGAATGGGTAACCTCTAAACTTATTTTGATTATCTTGCATAATTGGTTGCTCATTTAGTTTAAGCATACATGAATTTTGATTTTAAACAATTTTATGTTTTCTATCTCATGTATGTTAAAAAGTGTTGTGATGAACATTTTCTAAAGTTTTAATGATTTTTCATAAATATTTGTTCATCATAATTAATTTTGGTCAAAACAGGTTTTAATGCTTTTTTTTACAAATTTTAATTTTTGACATTAATTTAAATGTTTATGTATGTGATTTAGGGTCTGTTTGTTTTCAGGAAAACCAATTATGGGAATTGGTTTTCCATCAATTCTCGTGTTTGGTTCCCGTAAAAGCTTATGGTCAATGTAAAACCAATTACAGTCAACGTAAAATAAACTCCTTTTGCCCGTAAAACAACTTACCATGGAAAAATCGGGAATTCATTTTACAAACCTGCCTCCCATTTTTCTTTGCCTTTGATCTTCTTCATTCTCCGATCAACTATCACTATCTTCCTTCTCACCAACAACAAAATCAACAGATTTTTCCAGCAAAATCAAGGGAGGAGCTCTAGGATTCCAAGGTAATATTTCGAATCCCTAATGTTCTTCCTGCCCTTTTGCTTTTCTCTTTGATTTCCAAGGGTAAATCTCTTTAAAATGTACCAATCGCACTGCCATTTTCCCTCTGAATGTGGTGATAGTTTCCTGCTTATGAATTTTCTGTCTTTTTCGTTGTTTGCTGTCCATATGCTTTCCAGATTACCATTTAGGAGGTCGAACTCAACTTTTCCAGATTACCATTTCCATATTACCATTCGTCGGATTCTTCTCGCTCGCAAAGCGGAGTCCGGTTGTTATCGCCGACTTGTAAGTTCTGTGTTTATGTTAATTCTATTATGTTTATGGGTACGTTCAGTGCTGGTTGGGTCTTTTTTCCTATTCTTCAATGGCGGATTGAAAATCTCTAGTCATCGTAGTTGTGGTTTTGCTTTTGGCTGTTCAAAGTAAGTTCGATGTCTAGCTTTCATGGGCTTTGGCCATGGTAGCCGATTTATATAGTCTGACATGACAACTCTTGGAGATGTTTTTTTTCCTTTTTTACCAAGCCCTAGTTTTGCTGGTTTCATCTTGTGCTTGAACTGTAGTTTGTAACCTCTCTCAACAATGTAACGAGTTCCATAATTATTTTCCTTGATCACATCCCACAGACCAGTACAACCCCCTCCCCCCCCACAAAACAAAAACAAACCGAGTGATACAAGGTCCTACTGAGAACTAAAGCCAAAAACAATATGCAATATTGACTGTGATTGAGTTAAAGAAACAAGCATATCAACAGCTAAATACTAGCACTATGAGAACCAATGTCACATGATGGTAAAAAATAGTGTGATCTCATCAAACACCATTAAAATTTATAATAATTAGTAGCCACATAAAGAGAAATTAGAAAACGATAGGAAAACACCACAAACAATGAACATGGAGAAATAAGAAGACTCCACATAGACATTTCGAACAAGAGGATTAAAATACAGTCCATAATCTAAACATTCAATTGACCTGCTTCTTCCCCTGCTTCGAAGCCCCAATTGAGTGAGAACATCCTTAAGTTCTTTTAAAAGTATGCCAGCTAATCCTACAATAGGAATATTAAATAGAAATTAGCTCTCCATGAACAATTTCTTTTCGGAAAAAACAAAGACAGTGCAACGTGTTAGAATCAAGCATAACATGGTAGGAACTAACTGAAACACACACACACACACATATAATTACTAACTCTCGGCTTTTGATTTTGGTTTTATACTCTGACTAATAGAATAACACAATGTTAAGTGGCTTTTGAGTTTAGAACTAACGAGAACGATGTTCTTGTCATTTTGAATCACTGGATTTTATGCTAAGTTGATGTTATCAGGATTTTTCGCAAAAATTAATATTTTGTATTCTCAATTTGTTCTCATCGATTAATATTTCGTATTGTCAATTTGTTCTCATCGATTAATATTTCTGTTATATGACGTTCTTATCTTATTAATTGTAATATTTCTGATAGGTTATTCTTACTGGAGTCCACCTGCACATTTGGTTAAAATTTTCTCCATTACGAGGATCGATCATTAAACCTGGCATATCATTGATAAAAAAAGGGAAACAAGGTGCATTTTTCAATATATGATATATGACATAAATTCTTAATAGTATATCGACATAAATTACATCCACTTTAGCCTAGGTAAAAGCTTAAACGTAATATGAACTTTAGCTTTAGATTAACTAAATTATAATAAAACTATCATTTGGAACATTTAGGATGAGATAATGGAGATGTGAAACTGTTTTAAAAAAAAAAAAGGAATATAAGATCTTGTGATGTCCTGTATTTGGCATTAAAACTCATCAACTGACTACCCAAATCTAGATACAGCAATAACTGGTTTAATCTCTCATATTCTGACGTTCAAAAGATGATAGTGGAAATAAACATATAAGTTGAAATAGGTAAACTAAAGATATACATCCAAGGAGGAAAAAAAGCACTTCTATGAACTTACTTCTATGCTCAAGAGGCCATTAAGTCCATCTTCCAAAGATCCTAATAGGGATGCGTCCTGCAGGCCATACAGTAATAACCAATATAAAACAGGATGAACAAAATATTAGTAGCATATGTTATTTTTTGAACAAAGGAAAAACTTGAAACTACCAATAGGCGTGGTGATCCACAAACAATAAACCTCATATTAACATGTTCATCGTATATCTTTATGACATAAATTCTTAATAGTATATCGACATAAATTACATCCACTTTAGCTTAGGTAAAAGCTTAAACGTAATATGAACTTTAGCTTTAGGTAAAAGCTTAAACGTAATATGAACTTTAGCTTTAGGTAAAAGCTCATACGTAATATGAACTTTAGCTTTAGGTAAAAGCTTAATACTTATGAAATAAAATTGAGAAATAAAATTGAAAAATAAAATTGTTTAGAATTGAACTTATGAAATAGGATCTTTTATCAAGTTTTGACATGTAGTATATCAAGTTTATTCTGAAGATATCTTCAAGTTTCTAATCAAAATTTAATTAATTTGTTCAACTTTGTCTTAAAATTATTAAATATTCATAAAAATTGGACACATGTTGGAATATGAAGCGATTATTAGACATGTAGCCTAGATGAGTCCAACAATTGAAATTAGCCAAGTTTGAATGCAAGTTGCAGGATTGAATTCCACCCATATGGTGGTGCAATAATCGGCCCAACTTACAGTCGAATTAACCTTTGAGGTTTCTTTTAGTTACTCTTGGGTATCCTGCAGGTTGCACATAACTGATTTTGATTTTCCAGCTTGTTTTGAACAAATAAAAATATTATACATAATATTGAACATAATTCTATTCATAAAACAATTGTGGTTATAATTTATTATAAAGTTCACAAATTCATAAATATTATGTTCAATATTTTTTTGTAGATGGAACGTAATTCTATTCATAAAACAATAGTGGGAGTCGCTGTTTCAGCATTGGCTTTTGGGGCTCTTTGGATTCACAGACTAAAATTTAGAAAGCAAATAAGTCATGAACGTCACGTGAATCGAGATTGTGAAAGATAAAACTACATAGAAACATTTAATTTTATTTAGAACATTTTGTTCAGTATTTCTTTGTTACGTATGTTGGATATTGTTGTTTTTAGTTTGTTGGATATTGAAATTGAAAATGTTTTTAGATTGTTAGACATTGAATATATAATTTGTTGGATGTTGACATTATTATTTTAAAGTTTGTTATAAATGTTATGTTTTATGTTTTTTTGGACATTTACATATGCTTGGGAGTTGATTGCTTGGTGTCTTATGTATTAGGTGCTTGGTGTATATTTGAGGGTTGATATTGCAAACTGTTACATAATTGTTGGATAATTTATGTTTGTTAGTAGTCTAATTACTTACTTTTTATGATTATTAATGTAGAAATGAGCACATCAAAACATTTTAAGTGGACAAAACCAATGGAACGTCTATTTCTCGAAATACTTGCAGAGGAGACACAAAAAGGTAATAAGCCATCTAATACATTTAGAGAAGTTTCTATAAATCGAGTTGCTACAACTATTTCCGAAAAATTTCAAGTCCAATGTGCCACCAAACACGTGGAAAATCATTTGAGGACAATAAAAAATACATGGAAAACCATATGTACAATTCGTGAAGAAAGTGAATTAGGGTGGGACGAGAACCTGAGAATGATAACTTGCGACGAAGTGACATATGATGTTATAGTGACGGTAATCTTTATATACTTATTTTAATAAATGATATTTGAATTTTACTTTTTATGCTATCTGTGTATAATATTTAACAGGCACACCCAAAATATGGACCATATTTGAACAAAAAAATTGATTTTTATGATGAGATGGCTCTTGTTGTTGGTCAAGATATGACAACAGGGAGTTTTGCTAGAACCTTTGCTGATATAGAGTTGGATGATGTTAATGAAGGTTCAATGCCGTTAAATATCGACACTCAAGATATCGATGAGGAAAAAACAAAATTATCTTCATCTGGTACATCAAAACGCAAAAGGAAGAATGTCCAAGACAATGTCGAGGATGATCATATTAAATTGGTAAGTGAGAAACTTGGTGAGATTGCAGAAGCACTAAAAAAATTTACAGAGGATCAGACACCACATCTGTATGAAGAAGTTATGTCGATGGAGAAAGAAGGCTTTGATGACGAATTTCTTTGTGAGGTGTTTGATTTTTTGGCGAAAAATGAGTTGGAGGCCAAAGCTTTCTTAGAAAAAAAATCAAAACATAAGAAACTTTGGCTTCAAAAGTTTCCTCAAAGTTAGGATGTGAACTTTTAATGTGGAGTACTACTATTTATGACTTAGACAGTATTTAAACTTTAATGTGTTGTAGTACTATTATTAGACTTTAATCATATGTCGGTTTGATGTGTTGTAGCACTAATTATGAATTAGACAATATCTTTGTATTATTATGGTTGTATAATATCGTTATCTTAATGTTTGTAATCAAAATTTTCTCCATCATCTCTGTCACCTTTTCGAGCATTATGTCTCTATCGGATCCAATAGAAGTTTTTGCCTTTTGAAATTCATTGTTCCAAGCAGATTACTCAGACACCTCAAGCTTTCTATAAGCCAGTGCCAATGTACCACTAAAATTCAGGAACAAAATGACCATAAACAGAAAAAAGACAAGTTTTCCACCCAATTAAGATGACTCTTCATTTTACGTAAGTATTCTGTTGGCCAAATAAATATCCGACAGACGATATGTAGATCTCACTCTCCTCAATTTACCATGCGAGATACTTACAAATGTAGTATCTGCACTACTCCCTAAGTCCAAGTAATATATCAAATAGGAAAAGGAACCCAAGGTTTGATGCAGAAGACACAACAAAGATGTGTATCTTTACAACGAACCCTTTCTTTATACAGATGATGCAATAATGTCCAATTAGTCAGATGGTGACGTTGTTTGATTATATAATAAATCCTTATTTTCAAGCCTCACTTAAAGAAAAAGTTTTAAGTGATTTAGCATGACCGTATTGAAACTTTGAAGTTTATAACAACAAAACAGTGACATCTAAAATTTATGGCATTTCAATTTCATCTTCCAAAGGAAAAAGTAACAAATGCAACTCAATACATCATTCACTAATCACATTGCAGCTGGTATTATTTGCTAGATATTTAACTAATGAAATGGCAATAAAAACACAACCAAAATGATCCCTTACGGTGACGGCTGATAAAGCAATTAGCATGCTAATGACTTCAAAGATACATCACGGATTATAAAGAAGTAGATTCTACAGTGCTAAGGTACGCAATTGCCTTTTTGAGCCAATACAATTTTATAAAATAACTTAAAAAAATTAAAATGTAAATAACAAGAAAAATATAAAAATATATACATTTTTACAAAAAAAAACAGATTTCGTAAATTGTTTTCAGGAAAACTAACCAAATAGCTTAAAACATTTTACAATGCAGCATCCAAACAACGTAATTGGTTTTCTGGAATTGGTTTTCCAGAAAACCAATTACAACCAAACAAACAGACCCTTATTGTAAATGACATCTCTCTAACAATTGATATCAATTTTTTAAATGCGTAACATTTTTGGATAACTTTATACACATGCACTAAAATACAACAATTGGTATTGCATAAAGTATAATAGACTTGGATATTTTAAATTTCATGTGCTACTAACATGTTTTGGTAACAAGAAAAAAATGTATTGAAATTAGACATTTCATACTTCATTTTTTCATGTTTTGGAAAAAAAATATTTTGAATTTCATATTTTAATCCGTCCCCTAATATAAAATCATGTGTCCGTCATAATTCTGTGCTTCCAAGTTTTGAGCTGTAAACAAGATTTAAGCTGTCTAAGACTGATGTTTTTTTTTTTCATAAGACTGTGTAATTTAACATTTAATATTTTTTTGATCAACTCTTTCTATTGTTGACTTTATTGTTGCAACTACAATTAAATCACACGAGAAGCTTGAAATTACGCTTGAATACTTCACAGCTCGTTCTGCAAGTTTTGAACTTGCATGGCGTTTTGGTCGTGAGAGTACACGAGCTGCTGTTACAACTGACCGGTCTGGTCTTAGGCACATCGGTAAGCCTAATAGTAGTCTCGATCGTTCACGGTTGAGTGTTGCTGAACGTAAAAATCGAGCACCTCAACGGGATTTTGAGAATAAGAAGAAAAATTGAGTTGATTATTTTGTTCGTGTTGGTTCATTTTGACTTATTTTTCCGGTCGAGAAATGAATTCACCCTCACCTCACCAATTATTGATGGTAAGATATGGGTTGTGACGGCTGTGAACAATCTCCCTTTAAAGTTTAGACGAAGAGTCACATACGGTTGTTTTATGAAGAGTGGTGTGTAAGCAAAAGATAAATAATGTGAGTCCCAAAGAAAGAGAGTTCGAGATCCTCTCTTCAATCTTACATGAGAATTTATATACTTACTTTTAATGTTAATTTCAGACATAAGATCATGATAACTATATGTAGAGAGTTTAAGATCCTCTCCGAAGTCAAGTCTATTCATATCGAATATCTATCAAACTTTCACTAAATTAATTTCAAATAACTCAATCACAATCTATCTCTTCTCATTTACGTCCCTAATTAAAATGGTCATTAACAATTTATTCACAAAGTATATAGTAAAAAATGTCAACGTATGGTCACTACAGGTGACACAAGTTGATGTGGTCCTTACAGAAATGTCTCAGACACTTGGAGTTCGGGAGTCTCAATTTTAGAAATGAATAATGAATTAAACAATTTTTTAAAGCTGTGTTTTTGTGGTGATCCCAGATCTACTAACATGTGATTATACAAACCTAAACTACTATATAATCATATTTTATAGGTTAAAGTACATAAATGGTCCCTTAACTATAGGATATTATTTTATTGAATCCATTAATTATTAAAAGTTACAAAATGATTCATTGATTATAGGGAGTTACTTTGTTGAGTCTCTCGACTATTAACAGTTACAAAATGATCACTCGACTATTCATTATGTTCTAAATTCATCCTTTTCCGTTAAAATAATAATAATCATCTGAGTTAGAAGTTAACATGCTGACAGAGATATGATAGTCGTTTGAGATTATGAGATCAAATTTTATCATATATCGGTCAACATGTTAATGTACAGCTCAGACTACCGTCAAATTTCTAACATAAAATAACGGGTTTGGAACATAGTGAATAGTCAAGTGACTATTTTGCAACTTTTAGTAATTAATGGAATCAATAAAACAGCTCATTATAGTTAAAGGACTGTTTTATAAGTTTTAATAGTCGAAAGACTTAATAAAATAATATCCTATAATCATGAGACTATTTATGTACTTTACCCTATTATATATATATATATATATAAAGTAAAGACAAACACGATTTAGTTTTAAACATTGTTTTGAAAACTTGACCGGACCGGCCGGTTCAACCGGGAACCGCTGTCTGGTCCGATCCATTCTATCCCGGTTGAATCGGTTTTAGTGAACCGTAAGGAATCGTTCGAACCTGCTTTGAACTGTTGAACCGGACCAAACTGTAAACTGGTTCAACCTATTTTTTTTTTATTAAATGTTTTTTGTATTTTTATTTAATTTTTAAAATAATTATGATGTCGTCCGATTCTTATGACCGGTCTGATCGATTCGACCGGTTAAACCAATAAACCGATAGCACGAACCGATCCGGTTATGAAAACCATGATTTTAAACATGCATCATTAATTCATTCAAACAACGCAAACATTAATTAATCTACGATTATTAGCATAAAATTAGGAGTGTTAACGTGCAAAAACTAACCAAGTCAACAGGATTTGCAATGCATTCCGTTTTTGTTTCGAGTTAATTGCATTTTACATTCTCAATCTATGAACCTCATTTTCAATTGATCCCTAAATTTTTAAACATTATAATTTCATCCTTAAACTATGACTATCATTCTGAACTACTCCTCAAATGTTTGAACATTTTATTTTCATCCACAAACTATGATATTCATTCTAAATTGATCCCCAAAGTTTATGAATATTTCAATTTTATCATAAATTATACGTAAATACTAATCACCTCTCTTGTTAATAAAATCATTAGACCAAGTTATATAAAAATAAATTTTAGGTTAAACTATTGTTGAAATGGATTACATATTTAGACGACTTTAGGGATAAAAAAGGATGAAAATGGAAATAAAAACAAACATGAGGAGTTAATGGTAACCAAGCTAAAATTTTAATTTTCATTCGATACAACAAGTAGGGCAGTTTCATTAGAGATGTTGAAGAAATTATTTTTGGAAACAAGCAAAAAGTCGTAAAAGGCCATAAAGGACTAAAACTTACCTTGGACCCGAATCGTCGGAATCAATCATTCACCGTCACAATTCTTTCAATCCTACGGCTTAGATCCCTTGTCGCTATTCATCAACGAAGCACTCATCATCTTCTGGAACTCCTCGAAATTGACATTCCCATCGCCGTCGGAATCAACCGACTTGATCATCCGAGCACAATCATCGACCGAACTATTCATCCCCAGCCGATTCAGGACAAGATGCAACTCCTTCTTCGAGATCAGGCCGTTCTTGTCCTGATCGTACAGATCGAAGGCGTCGCGCATCTCCAAGGCGGCGGTGACTTCATCGGAAGCCGAGCGGCAGAGAGTGGAGAACTCGGAGAGATCGATGAGGCCGTCTTTGTCGGTGTCTATGTCTTCCAAGACACGTTTGAGCTCGTCCTCTGAGTAGCTGGATCCCATTGCTTTCAAGACGTCGCGGAGCTCGGAAACGGAGATCTTTCCGTCCTTGTTGGCGTCGAACTGGTTGAAGACCTTTTGGAGTTCGTCGTCAATGACGCGGGAGGATTTCGCGGTGGTGTTTGGAGTTGTCGACATGGTTGCTTAGAGAAGAACAAAAGGAAAGTGAAATATACTTTTGCGAGGAAAATCGGGAGGCCAAGGGGGAGTGTTGGCTTTATAAACACTGAAGGGGGAAACATGAGAACAATTAAATGTCACGGTAAACTACACACTTAATATTTAAACTATCAGTTTTTGTTCATTTTAGTACCTACATTTTTATCTTTTTTAAAATCATACCTTATGTTTAATTTTCATTTTATTTTAGTATCGGTCGTTAAAACTTTAACGTTTTAATAACTAAACTATCAATTTTGTTCTGTTTTAATACATAAACTTTTAATTTTTTCAAACTTAATATTAAAGTTTGAACGAGATACTAAAATGAAACAAAAACTAAAGTTTTTAACGACGAGTACTAAAATGAAAAGAAAAAAACTAAATTTTATATATGATTTAAAAAAATAAAAGTTTAAATATTAAAACGGACTAAAACTGATAATTTAGATACTAAACGTATAATTTATCCTAAATGCTAATACAAGCCCTTAACTTATGACTTTCCTCTACTATCGCTAAATTCAGTATTGTACAAGGAGACGTACGTACAAAATTATTTTTTTTTAAAAAATTGAGGTAAAATAACTATTTAGTTATATATTATTATTTTATTTTTATTTTGACCATTTAGTTATATTTTTCAAATTATATTTAATATTATATTATATTTTTATTTTTATCATTCATTATTATAAAGTTAACTATCATGCTAAGGTGACATGATTTGATATTTTTAAATTCCCACGGCATATATATTTTTTAATTAATTACTGATATTTAATTTATTGATTGATTAATCTAGATCGGGTACCGTAGAGGCGAGAGCGAACCTCCCAACCTAATTTTCTCCTTTTGTTAATGTTATGGTTTAAACCCATAATCTTATTTATAGGTTTCGAACTCGACTAACCACTAACTAGACATATTATTTGTGAATGTTTTATAAAAATTTATGTTTAAGTTATATTAAATTACCACCACATAAAACGATTTTGGATTAATATAGGATTCAGATCCAAAACCTTGGGCATGGTAACCACAAAAGTTAAAGAATTGATTAGGTATAATGCAAAAAAGTTATCCTAACGTTCGATTAAATAATCATTTTGACCTTTATTCTGTTTCGAAGTATTTTACTCCAATTTCGTCAAAGACAAACGATGAGAGGTAAACACATTGGGACTATATCCCTAGAGGCAATACGTAAACACAGTATGGATGATAATAACCTCCGAGACATTCAACTCCTTCATTTTTCTCCGGCACAGGGATACCCATTATGGCGTGTTGACCCGAAGGCATATGCTCGCGTACCCGAATCAATCACATCGTATAAACAAGATTTATATACAAGACCTCGGACGGATCCATGTGATCCACCAAGATAAAACCGAAGATTTGATAATTAGATTCGTTTAGCATGTTAGATTACGTATAGTCATTATTACCCTATGATTGACATTATCGGTTATGATCATTATAAATATATTTCAGCTACAACTGAGTAGAGGTGTTCAATCAGTCGATTCGGTTATCCGATAGAATCGGACTTTCAAATTTTCATTAACCGATTTTTTTTAGTTTTAACCAATAATAGAATCAATTTTTAAAAAAAATAAATAACCAAACTAAAAAAGTTCGGTTAATCGGCGAGTTTATCAAATTTAACCAAAATTTTAAATAATATATATTTAATATTTTTCAGCTAATTCGATTAATTTGACCAGTTAATTCACTCGATTAATTCAGTTAAAACCGAAATTTAAACACTCCTAAATCTATTAATATACAAATAATATATTAAATATTCAAAAAATTTGGTTAATTCGATTAATTAACCAATTTTGAACCGAATTAATCGATAACTGAACTTTGAAAAAAATATTGACCGTTAACCTACTGAACCTAAAAATTAACCGACTGATTAACCGAAAAAAGTCGTTTTGGTTGGTTTAATCGGTTAACTGAAATTTTAAACACCCAATGGATCATGAATCATCATATAACAGTTGATATTACACCAACTACGATTCTTTTCCAAATTAAAAAAAGTGAACCGTCAAATGCCAAAGTAACTCATTTATTCCCATTAACAATAATTAGTATCTAATTTTTTATAAATATTAAAATCGTTTTTATTTAGGTTAATAATATTAATTATATTTTTTGTATTATTTTTAATTTTAAAACGTCCACACAACTCTTGGAGTTTTGCCATATTTCCGGGGCCAAATAATGCTCCTAGCCCACCCCAAGCAAAATAAGAAGGTTCAATCAATTGTAGAAGTATGGTTTTCATAATCGGATTGGTTAGCGAATCGGCTGTGCTACCGATTTACTGATTCAACCAGTTAAATCGATCAGATCGGTCGTAAGAACCGGACGATGTCATAATTATTTAAAAAATTAAATAAAAATATCAAAAATATTTAATAAAAAAAAATAGGTTGAACTAGTTCACGGTCCGATCCGGTTCGAGCGGTCCAAAACCGATTCGAACGATTCCTTGCGGTTCACTAAAACTGATTGAACCAGGATAAAATGGACCGGATAAGACAACGATTACCGGTTAAACCGATCAATCCAATCCGATTTTCAAAACAGTGTGTAGAAGTCATTGTCGAAATATATCAATTTTTTCATGGTAATACTTAGAAAAAACTTTAATTGAAAACCAATAGAATGGTGTCACGTGTAAAATGATTTAATTTGTTTATCATAATTGTTAACTACGCATTTACTAACTAAACTTTTAAAATTTTCAAAATCATGACTAAAATTTAGCTTTCATTTCATTTTAGTACATTGTCATTAAATATTTAACGTGTTTAGTACTTAAACTATAAGTTTTGGTTCATTTTAGTACCTAAACTTTCGATTTTTTTCAAAACTTAACGTTAAACTTTGAACAGAGTACTAAAATGAAACAAAGGCTAAAATTTTAATTGGTACTAAAGTTTTTAATGGCAGGATACTAAAATGAAACAAAGACTAAAGGCAAAAGGGTAACTTTTGCCCCTATAGTATACCCAATTTATCACTTTCGCATCAATTTAACCCTCGAAGTTGCTCAATTGCATCATTATATATACTACCCTTAAGGTTTTAAGTTTGGGGTAAGGTATAAAATGATGCGATTGAATAACTTCGAGGGCTAAGTTGATGCGAAAATACGATAGAGGCGAAAATGATAAATTGAGTCTACTATAGGGATAATGGTGACCCTTAAGCCAAAACTAAACTTTAAGTATGTTTTTGAATTTTTTTTGAAAGTTTAAGTATTAAAATAGATAAAAACTTATAGTTTAGGTATTAAACTCGTAATTTACCCATTTGCTAAACGTGTTTAGTACTTAAACTATAAGTTTTGGTTCATTTTAGTACCTAAACTTTCGATTTTTTCAAAACTTAACGTTTAAACTTTGAACAAAGTAAATGAACAAAGGCTAAAATTTTAATTGGTACTAAAGTTTTTAATGGCAGGATACTAAAATGAAACAAAGACTAAAGGCAAAAGGGTAACTTTTGCCCCTATAGTATACCCAATTTATCACTTTCGCATCAATTTAACCCTCGAAGTTGCTCAATTGCATCATTATATATACTACCCTTAAGGTTTTAAGTTTGGGGTAAGGTATAAAATGATGCGATTGAATAACTTCGAGGGCTAAATTGATGCGAAAATACGATAGAGGCAAAATGAAAATTGAGTCTACTACAGGGATATGGTGACCCTTAAGCCAAACTAAACTTTAAGTATGTTTTTGAATTTTTTTTGAAAGCTTAAGTATTAAAATAGATAAAAACTTATAGTTTAGGTATTAAACTCGTAATTTACCCATTTTCTAAAATGTCTGATTCCTTATCGGATATGTTTCAGAAATATCAGGCTCCTTCTCGTCTTTCTCACATTTCTATGGCTCCAATTTTTCATTCGAAAAGCTTAATTATTACTTTCATTCATGTTCCAAAATTGATGAAAAAAAGGAGAAATCTTGGTTTAGCAGCCATGGTTTTCCAATTAACAAAAACGTGGAAGCTGACAGCAGCACTGACGACTGGCCATGGTTCCACTCTTTGCAGTAATTTGAACTCCATTTTTCCCTTCTTTTCCACTACACAAAATAGATGGCAGAATTTGGCTAATTTGTCTTTTGATCCCTCTTCTTCTTCTTCTTCTTCATCTTCTTCATCTTCTTCAAGCTCTTATTCGTCTAATTCTCCTTTGGCTGCTTACTCAAACAACAAAAAGTAGTACCAAATGCAAGAACAATGAGACATGCGCACAGAGATGACGAATTTGACAAAGAACTCGCACCCAAGATTTTGGAGCTTGAAGAAAATCACTCTTTTCTGCATAAACTTGTGTTTTACATCCAGAAGATCAGGAGTGTTCTCTTGCTCAATTCATCACCATTGTTTATGTATGTTCCAGCTCTCTCTTATGCTCCGGTTGCTAGAATTGTGCAATCCCTTTAATGGCATGAAGTTAAATTGTTCATTTGTTTGTAAGAGTTATACATGGTGTCCAAATATTGCAGCAAGTGATCTTCCAGTTTATAAAGCAGTTGAATCCATAATGGACCCTGCACCCTTCTCGGCGGTCCGGTTCGTGATGTCGGCCATCCCGTTCGTTCTTCGAGCCCGAGACGACGTTAAGATGGTGAAGACGGGGATCGAGTTGGGACTTTGGTCAGTTTGGGTTTCTTTGTTGAGGCAATTGGTCTACTTACAGCTGATGCTGGCCGTGCTTTTTATTTCTCTGTTTACGGCAAGTTGTTGAGTTTATAATACACATTATGACATAGGTGCAGTCATTGATGGTAGGATCAATTGAATTCCCATTGATTCAAACAGGTTATGGTGGTACCGATGCTCGATAGCATGTTGGGAGCTATAATACCTGCTCGTACTTGGTTCGGTATTCTCATGTCTGCACTCGGTGTCGCTATGCCCGAATCAGCGGTTCTCCGCAGAACGTAAGCGTTCGAACGTAAACGATACAGCCACAAAAGCATTAATATAACATCATTCTTCTTCATATGTACATACATATGTATCACCATATCTGATCCCTTTCAGATTAGAGACCTGCTAAGCTTTTTGAGTGCTATATTTTTCGGAATTACATGCTTCGAACCGAACATCTCTCGAGAACCACAAAGGAGGAGAACTTCCTGGCATTTCTTGGATATGAGGTTGTGTTGTTACCCGGTTTTCGACACTGTGGGTTTATATTCAAGGATGGGTTGATGGCAGCCAAGATATGGATACATCATCTTTGACATGGGAAATGTTATGGGATTGGATGATGGCCTTTCCATGGGTACCTGCCCTATACACAGGCATATGGTCAACCGGATTGTGCCAATGGATAGAGGTATTGTTTTCGATTTCTTCTATGTAGAAAATACATGCAAGTGCTATCATGGAACACCAAACATGATCTTTCTCGTTTCTCCGTGTAGATTGCTGCTATGCGTGAAGTGTCGGCAACAGAAACAGCCATCATCTACCCAATGGAGCCGGTATGGGCGCTGGTTTTGCATGGTTCCTCCTCTCGGCGAACGGTGGGGCACGACCGAATGGTCGGACTACTCTCGTGCTTGGTAAGGGATCTCGATGCTACAAACTTATGCTTATAAGTAACAAGCAACGAGAACATTATATGATGTAGGGGAAGCTTAATGGTGCAAATGTTGGGCACATCGGCCGCAAAAAGACCGATAGACGCGAAAAAGGAAATCCGAAAGGCAATCCGCGGCGGGTTTCCGAAATGGACAAAGGAAAACTGCAGAAGAAGCTGTCTACTTCACCAATTGTTGTGAGAACCAGAAAGGATGTGAGGGATCTGTTTTAAGTCATCCATGTCACAATTGCTGCCTTGTATAACTGTTCATAGATTATATGTTGCACATATAACATATTCGGATTATATGTTGATGACGCTATACAAACGATTTATAATAATTCACCAAACGCTATGTTCATTTACACTCCTATTAAAAAAACAAATGACTTACGCTCGGTTCATGAATATTAAAGGAGATTGATGGTGCAAATAAGCACATCTGTGCATCAATCAGTGTCCACTGATGCGTTCAGTAGCTCAAAAACGTGCTTATTAGTTTGGCATCTTCTTGCCAAAATGGAGATTTGGTGATATATTCTAGGGTAAATTGTGCATTTAGTATTTAATTCAGTTTTCGTTTATTTAGTATCTAATCTTTTAATTTTTCAAAACTATATCTAACATTTAGTTTTCATTTCATTTTGGGTACCCCCAAACTTAACATGTTTAGTACCTAAACAATTAATTTTGGTCCATTTTAGTACCCCAAACTTTCAATCTTTTCAAAACACAATGTTAAATTTTGAACGAGATACTAAAATGAAACAAAAACTAAAGTTTTTAACAGCAAGATACTAAAATGAAACAAAAACTAAACTTTAGGTATGATTTTGAAAAAAAATAAAAGTTTAGATGCTAAAATAGGCTTAAACTAATAGTTTAGGTACTAAACACGTAATTTACTCTATATTCTATTCACTAAACAAGTTGTGCTGTTGAATTACCTAAGTTGTACGTTCAATTTATCCCAAGTGTTCATTAGGAAACATTTAGACGGACCTTAATCAAAATATTCTTTAAGAAAGTGTCTATAACTGGAATAAATACCTATAATACTCATATTTTTTTTAAATATTTTAAATGATATTTAATTTATTAAATGATAATACATATCATAATTATACGTAAAAATAATACAATATATAAATATATATCGTACATTGTTAGAAAGAACCGTCTAAATCAGAATCAACTATACAAATATTTTTGACTTGACTAAACCTGATTTTCCTAAACTCGATTCGATTAAAAAGTTAATAAAACTTAAATGATAAAACGATACTCTACATCAACTAACTCGTTTTTTATTTAACTCGATCAAATATATCAACCCTACATATAACAAGTTATTTGAGTGGTTAGGATTAAAAGTTCTATTTTTAAGGTTATAAAATTTTATATTAAAATTTATATTTTAATATTTTTTTAAATATAATATATATTTTTTTATTAAGTTAAGGTGGTCATAAAGTAATTTTTGTTCTAAATACTCTCAAACATTTGATAATGAATATTTAATCACCCTACTACAATTACGGTACTCAAAGTCGTGACTTCTAAAAATAACAAACATTCTTTTAATCATTAAAATAATTTGATATGTGTTATAATGTGTTTTGGGAAACAAATTCACATGAGCTTCGTTATTGTCACGTGTTACAAGCTGAAAGTGTCACGTCAATTTTGAGGTTAAAAAATTAAACTAGTGAAACAAAAAAATAAATCATATCAAATTAGGAGAAAAACTATAATTAATTTAAAGACAGTTTAAACTAGACATTAATCTGCTTATTTGAATATATAAATTAATCTCACAATCCCAACGTTATATAGCTCATGATTCTGAATCAAATTTTACTATATTTTTATCATAGCATATTAACATCAACTCAAACAACCATCATTTTTTTAAACGAAAAGGAGTTTGAAAATATGAATAGTCAGATAACCATTTTTTTAATTTTTAATAATTAATGAACTCAAAAAGACAGGATAATATGAGTAATAACAATCTTTAAGATAGGTTAACACTCCCCGAGACTCGGGTCAAGGTGGGAGCTTAAATATAATGTACCAATTCAATTAAACTGAAACCCCACCAAGACTACTTACCAACCTCAGTTTTCTTTATAAACATTAAAAAAGAAAAAGATGTAATGTGACGAATGCATGTCATAATGATCACTCAGTAACTTTCAGATTCATATGTATCTTGATTTGATCTCCGATAACTATTTCACTGCAAATATAAAATCGTACCTAGAAAATTTCGACCATTTAGAGTATCAACCCAAGTTTCTGCTGCTTCATACAAGGCAGCACGCTCATCAGTTATGTTATATTTCTTCTTTAGATTCTTGGACACGAAATACATAGCTGCAGCTCCGGCATATTCGCTGTTATCTTCTCCATGAAACTGAAGTTACCTGCAGTTAAGAGGAAAGAACAACATGAATATGAAGATTAACAGCTGGAATCCAATGCTGGTACTGACTGAATGGAAAAGAACAAACTCAAGCATAAAACATAATCTATGGTCAAAAGGCAGCTGAAATCCTCAAAGATATAACTCTAAATTAAAAATGGGGACTACATCAAAGTAAATCATCAAAGTTAAAACAAATAAGAAGATGGCATAATCACATACTTTCATACGGATCAAATGCAAAGACAATTACATTATATATATCATCCAGTAAAAGTTGCCTGCTACGAACTCCGTGATCAGACTAGCATCAAAAGGAATGTAATAGGAAGAGTAGCTGGCCGTAATAATTGATGTTAGCTAGGAAATTCATAATTCATATTATTAACAATTTGTACAAAAGCAAATTTCTTGTGTGTTCATGAAGAAGAGTTCCAAACAGAAATTATTGTTTTATCTTATTAAAAATAAGTTTCAGAGAACAAATGATTAGAATGGAATTAAACATACTTATAGATATTACACTGGGCTCTAGCAGGGGTGAAATCACACTAGGTTGAGTACAGCAAGTAGAAAGCTCAGGCATTATTTTTAAAGTGTGTCTAGGAACACGTTTGTGGGCACATAAAAAAAGGCTTCTAGAGGCATAGGCGCAGAGGCACGAAAAGCTCACAGGCGCGTGCTTTGAAGCCTTGAGAATTTTGATATGTGAGTAATTTTATAAAAAAAACTCACGTGGGTTTTACCCCATCCAACACCCTCGCCCCGACTTATTCATTTGTTGAAGAGAGGAAAAACTCTATGCTTGAGGGCACTGCCAGCCCAGCAATATCAGAGGTTTCTAAGACCGCCGTCACACTGAACCATCAAGTACAACTGGAGCTCTATCAGCCGTCGGATACACCGTCCTCTTCACTCCTTTTTTTTCATCTTCGATCTCCACCTCTTCTGTCTCTTCTTTTTCATTTTCCATCTCTTCTCTTTGTTCTACTCTCCCCTTCTTTCCTTCGAACTCTCTTTTTTTTAAAAAAAAATTATCCCTTTTTGTTTCATTCACTTCTTCTTTAATGATAATTATTTCATTTCTCACTACAGTGTTATTTGTTTTGTCTATATTATTTGAATTTCAGCTTGTTGAAATAATGGATACAGGGTAAACTTCCACTAAAGAATCGAAACTTTAGATTCAGCAAAAAAATATGGAAAGCCATAACCTAGTAATAAAAATAATTTTGTGTTATTTTTGTGCAAAAGTTTATAAGGGATGAGCATTTCGAATGAAACAACACTTGATTGAAAGATTTAGGAATGTGACCAAATGTATTTTATTTTTTAATTTTTTTGATAGGAGTGACCAAATGAATTTTGATATGTGAGTAATTTTATAAAAAAAAACTCACGTGGGTTTTACCCCATCCAACACCCTCACCCCGATTTATTCATTTGTTGAAGAGAGGAAAAACTCTATGCTTGAGAGCACTGCCAGCCCAGCAATATCAGAGGTTTCTAAGACCACCGTCACACTGAACCATCAAGTACAACCGGAACTCTATCAGCGTCGGATAAACCGTCCTCTTCTCTCCATTTTTTTCATCTTCGATCTCCACCTCTTCTGTCTTCTTTTTCATTTTCCATCTCTTCTCTTTGTTCTACTCTCCCCTTCTTTCCTCTGAACTCTCTTTTAAAAAAAAAATCATCCCTTTTTGTTTCATTCACTTCTTATTTAATGATAATTACTTTATTTCTCACTACAGTGTTTTTTATTTTGTCTATATTATTTGAATTTCAGCTTGTTGAAATAGTGGATACAGGGTAAACTTCCACTAAAGAATCGAAACTTTAGATTCAGCAAAATATATGGAAGCCATAACCCAGTAATAAAAATAATTGTTATTTTTGTGGAAAAGTTTATAAGAGATGAGCATTTCGAATGAAACAACACTGGTTGAAAGATTTAGGAATGTGACCAAATGTATTGAGCATGTGAAGGAGGAAGTGAAGGCCTTTACGATAAAAAAGGTCGAGTTAAAGGCCTCAAATTTAATGTTATCCCAGAAATTTCTTAAGGTGTTGATGATTATGATGAAGAACTTGAAATATTGAACTCAAGTCAAAAGAAAGAGATACCTTTATCCAAAAAAACCAAGAGTCAAGCTCTTAAAGCTAATCCAAAAAAAGAGAGGGTGTGCATGCAGCTTATGATAAAAAAAAAAAACTACGAGATAGAACTTCTGGGTCAATTGTTAGGTTTTTATGATGTCATAATTGCATTCAATGCGACAACTTACCCTAACTTCAAGGAAATGAGTAAAGTATTAGACAATATGGTCCCGGTTTAAAACCACAAAGCATGCATGAGCTTTGTGTTCCTCTCCTTACGAAGGAAGTTGAGAACACCCAAAAAGTGATGGATGATCACAAAAGGATTGCTCGATTTTATTAGATGGATGGTGTGATTCGATTGCCCAAAAAATATTGTAAACTTTATTTTCAGCTCTCCAAAAGGCTACATGTTTATCATATCCATAAATGTTTGAATATTATCAAGAATGCCAACTTATTGTTTCAAGTATTTGATGACATAGTGGAGGAAATGAAAGAGAAAAATGTGATCCGAATGGTGACAAACAATGCATCTAATTATGTCAAACAATGCATCTAATTATGTCAAAGCCAATAAGAAATATGAGTTTCTTTCCTTTGTTTTTTTATTATTCAAATAACTTGATTATTGAAATGCTTTGAATTTAATTTGTTGTTTTGAAGAAAATTTACTATAGACTACGTCTTTATTAGATTTCATTTGCGGCACATTATATTGATCTTATGTTGTAAGGTATTAAAAAAAATTTCAAAAGTCAAGAATGCACTAAAGAATTACATATTCATGAATGACTATATATAGTTATATATCTCACTTGTGAA